TGTCTTTTTTTCTCATAAAAAGTAAAATTTTTTTTTTTTTGCAGACCGGTAAAACGGTAATGCATTGTAAAGCATATAACTGCACAGAAATGGTTACCACTACAACCACAACAACAACGCCACGGCCAATTCGGATGGTGCAGAAGGGTTCATCTTCGTCAACAGGTAGCTACCAGTTTTTTTTTTTACTTTGTTCAGTTATGTAGTATTTAGTTGAAGATTGGTTGACTGCTTAATGAATGGTTAGAAAGGGTCAGCAAGGATCAGCTAAAATTAGCGGTTTAAGAAAAGCAGTTTTCAGCAGACTTCCTTCGTTTTCTTTTTTTTTTTTATTCTTACTTAGGTCACTGATTATTTGGTATTGTTGGCAAATTAATTTGTGGAATCGATCAAAATCGTTCCTCATTTACAGAAAAGAAAAAGCAATGAAAAAAACATGTAAATTATGCAAAGATTTAGAAAATGTGGCCTTTAATCGGTACAAATATCCTCTCTTCCCGTCCCATTTTTTGCTCTATTTTTAGCAAATAAGAGGAAAACAATAATTTTTAAAGTGAAATTTGTAATATCAAAGGCGATAATCTTTTAATTAGTCGCTTTTGTTTAGCAGCTTTAAAAAAATTACCGCAAATTTTGCGCGCAGTAATCAATATATACCATATTTTCTTTTTCCTCTCCTTAGTCTTCCTTTTTCATTCACAACTTTAATTTTTAAAAAATGTCTAATAGAACAGTAAAAGAACGAAACCAAAAAAAAAAACCATAAGCGCTTTCCTTGCTTTTTTTAAAAATATTATTGAAAGTCTTTTGTTTTTCTTTCTATTTTTAGTTTGAAAAAGATTCAAAGCATTAATGCTATTTGAACAACTTTTTTGTTTATTACTGCAATTGTACAGAAAAAAAAATTGATTGAGAGTAAGTTTAAGAAGGAAAAGGATTCCTAAATTAAGTTCAATTTTTGTAAAATTTCAAAAGTGTGAATCATTCATTGACGCTGAATCAACGGTACGGTAGTCTCCTCAAAGGATGGTAACCGAAAAGAAGGGAAAAAAACATTGTAATGACCTCTTTGATTGGTGGAAAGTAAAAAAATATATAAGAGGAGAAAACATAATTTTTACTATATTTATCTGTTTTTTTTTTAATTTTTTAAACTGCTGTTGAATATATTTATCAAATTTCGTTTCACTGCATTTAGTTTCCTTTTTTTATATTTTTTTCAAAAAAAAAAAAAATCAAATAAATAAACAAAAAGGTTATAAAAATAATTGGCATATAATAAGTTGTTATTTGATAATTGATTGCTTTACAGGTTTCGTTATAAATCGTTTTTTTTTTTTAATTAAACATATTCATAATAAACTCCTCGGCTTCACTGATCAAGCAAGATGCATTAAGAAATAAATAAACAACAACAAAAAAAAAAGTGTTTTTTTACAGTAGTCTTCTGCTGCTAGAAGCAAAAGCAGAAGTATCAGAAGCTACAGCAGCAGTAGCAGTAGCAGCAGTAGCAGCAGCAGGAGGAGCATAAGGAGCAAAAGTAGTGGTTTGGTGGTGGTGGTGGTGGTGATGGTGATGGTGGTGGTAGTAGCAGCAGCATCAATCCCCAATAGAGTGGATGCTCTATTGTTGGCCATTAATGAAAGGTTAATCAAAAATAAAGTATAGTTGTTTTTAATTGTTTTAGGTTTAGCAGGTGCTACAGCTCTATTCGCTTTGATCGGTTATTTACTGCAACGGGACCAACAGTGAAAATTAAACAACGACAGAATAAGCGAAAAAAATTTAGTTTTTTTTTTTTTTTATCCCGGTAAGCACAACTGTTCAAATATTTTCTCCTACATCATTTTTTTTTCCCTTTTATTCTCAATGATTATTAATACCAAATATACACAGAAAAACAAATAAAACTGCTCTGATTCAAATAACA